AATCAAAAATTAGCTGGGCGTGGTAGCACGCGCCTGTAATTCCAGCTACTTGGAAGGCTGAGGCGAAAGGATCGCCAGAGCCCAGCAGGTAGAGGTTGCGGTGGCCGGGAGCGGCCACTGCACTCCAGTATGGGCGACAGAGTGAGACTCCAACTCAAAAAAAAAAAAAATGTACATAAATACCTCAACTCTATATATAGAAAAACATGCAAAGATAGATGGATTATTCAAATACAAACATACATCATAAAAATCCAGAAGAAAAATGAAAATTTGTATTTTGCAGTAACACAAAGTCTTTCTAAAGACCAAAACCTAGAAGCCATTATCAGTGAACAAAAAAAAAAAAAAAAAACCCTAAAAATGACTGAACAAAGTAAGGACAACATTAAAGTGTGTCTTTACAATACATGCAACAAAAGATAATTTTTTTTATATTTACAAGGTGCTCTTACAAATTATCTAGACCCAAAAACCAATCCTAAATATGGGTAAAGCAGTTTCTCAAAAAAACCAAATAGAACCTCTTTTCATTTCTCTTTCTCCTACTCTTCAACCCCACTCCTTAACCATATGAACAGTAAAAAGGAATTTCCCACACCTGCTTCCCTGTTACCTGAGGTCTTAAGTATGCCCATGTGTACTATTACCAATATACCCAAGTATATCCATGTGTACTTCTCCTATCCAGAAAGGGGAACGAATTCAGAGTTGTTACTTATTATTACTTTTCTTATTATTATTTCCACAAATAAATTGCATTCAATTTCCAAACAGGAAATTTTAATAGTGAACCTCTGTGGTCTTGGCAGAATATGTATTAATTCTTCCAAATTCATTTCTTAATTTTGATCTTCTTAGTTTCTTTTCCCCCCTTGCTTGGACCATTTAATTGCAATGGCAAAATCCTGAGGAAGGATCAGTATTGCACAAGAGACATGACATATATAAAGCTAGAACCTGTGATGAATTTATGTTTTACTGAGAGTATCACAACAAAAAAATCGTGATTCCCAAGGAACAGTACTGCCTGAAGCATCTGGTTCTTTCAGCAAACCTTTAGATTAGTTTGATATTACTCAATTTAGAAAACCATAGGCTGCTAAGGAAATCTTTCCCTTTATTAAACTCCATTCATAACCCCTCCTCCCAAAACAATGTGTTGCTTGACTGCTCACCTCTTCTCCTGAAAGGTAATATGCAGCAAGCAGGCCTCCAATAAATCGAATGTTGACTTCAAACACGGACACCTCTGAATTCTGTGAAAACATATTGAAAATATTTGCAAATACATAACGCTTTATAGTTTTTAATTTATTTTCAGTATTTCATCTATTTCTCACAAATAAACTGTGAAAGATGTTTTTCCATGTTCTGTATCTCCATTTCTCATGCAACTGCAATCTTACCTCTTGTTTGTTAATGTCACTGAAACTCCTCTATTACTACCACCACAGTTTCCAAATTGCCAAAACCAACAAGCCATTTTCATGTACCTTACACAGTACATGATTGAAGTTATCGAGATGTTTAATATGTCGCTCACTGTCCCCTCCTCATGAAAGCCACCACTTCTTGAATTCTGTATCTCGATTCTAGAATAGCACCCTTTCTACTGGTGGTCCTTCTATTCTAACTACTACAGCACAATTCTTACTTCTAGCTCTTCCCATGAATTGTTGAGTATTTTCCTGGTATATATAAGTGTTAACGTAGACATCAAAAAAATGGTAAGAAGATGGATTATTCAGTTAATAATGTTGAGAAACCTGGTAAGAAATTAATGTAAATACTCACTTCACATATATATCCAAACAAAATCTAAATCATTTAGAAATAAATGTAAAAAAAAATAAAGAAGTAGAAGAAAATGTGACTATATGAACTTCCTTGAGAAAGTAGGTACTTTGTAGGCATAAAATCAATAGGTTTGATTAAAACACTGATGATAGACTTGAAATTTTCCTAAAATGCAAATTACCTATAAGAAAAAAAACTCAAGAAAATTAAAAAGCAAACAAACAGAAGGAAATCTGGCAATATTAATAACATTGCTACATAGTCTATATGTTTGCATTTAGATATAGATATAGATATTAATGGAAAATCCTAACACATGGAAAGAAAGTGAAAGCAACAGAGAATATGATCCAAGAATTCATAGAATTTATACAACTGACTAATATAAATATAACATTCTTAACTAATTTTTTAATAAGAATTTAAAGAAAATGTATTACTCTAAAGTCTTTCCAACATTCACAGGCAGAACACATCATTTGCTAACATAAGCACAGTTCTCCAATATAGAACTTTTACAATATGTTAATTTTTCATAGCATAATTGTCATCCCACTCTACCCCTGAAAGCAGAATGCTTAATACTACTTCATGTATAGCAACATACTACAGGGCACATAGTAGATATTAACTAAATATGAGAAAGAAGAGGGAGGTAGGGCCTTTATCCCTCACCAGAACCGTAGCAATAACTATCTAATCTAACCAGTTTCCCTGCTTTCGTGGTCACCCTCCTCCCTACACTCTATTCGGCATCTTACAGTTAGAGTGAGCCTTCTAAATCTTTTATCAGTTTAGGTCACTACTCTGTGCAAACCCTTACAATGGCAGCCCAGTATACCCAATAAAATGTCCGGTACGACCCAACACGCTCAGATCCCCTACGACCTCTTCAACATCTCTCCTACTAATACCCTTTGACTCACTTAATTATACAGACCTACTTGCTGTGCCCAGAATTGCCAAATTCAAAGCTCCTATGTCAGTCTTCACACTTGTTACCCTCGTATCTGGATGCCTTCCCTTCATGTAACTGAATGAATCACTCTATCCCTTTCTGCAGGTCTCTGAACAAAAGTCACCTAATCAGAAATATTTTTGCCTAATATAAAATGCCAGCCGGGCTCGGTGGCTCAGCCTGTCATCCCGCGCCTTTGGGAGGCTGAGGTGAGTGGATTGCCTGAGCCCGCGGGTTCGAGACCCGCCTGGGCAGCGAGATCTCATCGCTACAATCAATCAAAGAATCAGCTGGGCGTGGTAGCGCATGCCTGTAATTCCGGCTACTTGGACGGCTGAGGCGGAAGGATCGCCGGAGCCCAGCAGGTCGAGGCTGCGGTGGCCAGGAGCGGCCACTGCACACCAGTCTGGGTGACAGAGTGAGACTCCAACTCAATAAATAAATAAATAAATAAATAAGTAAATAAATAAATAAATAAATAAATAAATAAGATGCCAAATATAATGCCTAATATAAAATAGTGACTTTCATCACTAATACCCCTTACTCTTCATTATTTCCCACAATTAACGCACATCATCTAATTACTATATAATCATATGACAATGAAATATTTTTTATTCATAAAATTCACATCCCTCACTAGAGAGACAAAAGGTTATGAGACGTTCTAGTGAGAGAGAAGAAAGGGGAAAGAGACATTACAGATAGAAGAACTGAGAATTGAAAATTCTCAAAAATTCAAAAATTGATGAAACGTGTAAGTTCTCAGATTGATGAAACATTATGAGCCCTTTAAAGAAGAATTCACACATAGACATAAATGTAATAGAGTTATAGAATAAAGTGAAAAAGAAAATATTAGTACAAAGAAAAAATACATTACCTTTTAAAAAACAGATTGATAGCACACTTTCAAGAGCTTAACAGAAACAAAAAAGACGACAGAACTGTATCTTTATTTTCTTTTTTTAACTTTTAATTTTTTTATTTTAAAGATGTGGGGTATAATTCAGGGCTAGGTATACAAAATGCTCATTACGCAAGTATCCTTGTTGATGAGGTATGCAAATTCCCACTACTGCCAATCCTGCTTCCCCACTCCCCTCCCGGAAGCTTCCTGCTACTGCCAATCCTTTTCTTATAGTATTATGATAATTGTTCAAGGTCTGCTTATGAGTGAGAACATGTGACACTCAGAACTATACCTTTAAAAGGTTAAGAGAATGCCGGGCTCGGTGGCTCAGCCTGTAATCCCGTGCCTTGGGAGGCTGAGGAGAGTGGACTGCCTGAACCCGCGGGTTCGGGACCCACCCGGGCAACTTGGCGAGACTTCATCTCTACAATAAATCAAAAGGCAGTCGGGTGTGGTAGCGCGCGCCTGTAGTTCCAGCTACTCGGAAGGCTGAGGTGGAAGGATCGCTGGAGCCCAGCAGGTCGAGACTGCGGTGGCCGGGAGCAGCCACTGCACTCCAGTCTGGGCGACAAAGTGAGACTCTAACTCAAAATAAATAAATGAATAAATAAAAGATTAAGAGAAAATAATAACCAACCTCTAATTCTATTCTCAGCTTTAGTATCTATTAAAAGCGACTTATACCCACACGGCCCCTTACCAAAGAGTCTTTCAGTAGCCACGCCATCACCACATGCTCAAATCCTATTTACTCTTCTTTATTATTCTCCTCAGCACCTATAATCACCTGATATATATGTATAATATATCATCACAGTAATATACTATACTATATACTATATACTATATATACTATATATATAGTATATATATACTATATATACTATATAATATACTATAATCACAGTAATATATGTGACTTTAATTTTGTTTATAATTTTGCTCCCAACACTACAGTATTAACAAAAGAAAGAGATAATACTCTGTTTTTCACTCATAAGCAAACCTTGAACAATTATCATAATACTATAAGAAAGGGATTAGCATTAGTAGAAAACTCCCAGGAGTGGGGGGAGGGCGGGACTGGCAGTTGAGGGAAACTGCCAGGGGAGAGAGGGGCACACCTCATCAACAAGAGTACCTGCATAAGGAACATTTGTATACCTAACCCTGAATTGTACCCCACATCTTTAAAATAAAGAAAAAAAAAGACTGTTTTGTTCATTATTGTATCCACAGAATCTACTGCAAAGGAGGCATTCAATAAATCTATATATTCATTTATTTATCCATTACTTAATTTGGATATTTCAAATATAAGTTGGGACTAGACAATAATTGACAAGACACACGAGACAAGAGAGAGATAAGCTAAGTGACAACATTCTAAAATCCTTATGCTCTTCAGAAGGAAGATAAGAAACTAATACTCTGATAAACATACATATGAAAACTTTAAAGATAACTACGAAATTAACAGATATGGGAAGTAAAAATGATAAACTAAAGAAGAAAAAGAAGCCATGAAGCCATTTAATACAAAATAAAGAAGGAAAACAGAAAATCAAGTAAACGAAAAGTACAGCAGCAACAGAGTTGGCAAAAAGAGATGGGAGATCTAACTCCAAATATATATTATCATAGTAAATGCAAATATTTCAAACTTAACAGTTAAAAAACCCTAAGACAAGATAAAAAATAACAAAATTCAAATGTACACTATATGCAACAAACAGCTAAAGCATGACAGGTTGAAAGGGATTAAAAAAATGACTGTGCTGATTATTAAATTCTCAGGCTCAAATCCATTCTTCTATACTCTACTTTGTTTTATGGAGTTGGAACTCCACAAATGCATTTCATTTACCAGCTGACTATCTCTCAGGTCCTACCAGTAGAAAGTCCTAAAAGACAATACAAGGAAGAGGAAGACTGGAGGAAGGAGAAGAGACTTATCCCTTCCGGTTTACTTTCTGTTTTAGACAGTGTCACATCAGCCATGGTTCCACAGCCTGGCAGTGGTAACTGGTCCCACTGTCACACACACACAATCCCCAAACCAGCCTCACTGTTCCCGCTGAGAGAGGTCAAGCACTTAGCTAGGAGTGCCCTTCTCAGAGTTCTGAGTCCCAGCTCTGAGAAAGTCCTTCTAAGAGCTTCTAAGGTACCAGCAACACCTGGGCAGTACTGGGAACTAGTACTGCAGAGCCCAACCTACTAAAGTGTAATGCTCCCAACCTCTTCCCATTGTTCTCCCCGCCCCTGGATGGCAGCTGCTTCTTGTTTCCTAGAGTTACTATCTCTGTTATCACAAAGCTCTCTTTTTGCCTTTTCGATTCTCCATTATTTGATGAGCAATTCAAAACATTAAAACCTCTAGTTAAAATAAATGATATGGTTCTGGCTCCAGATTGAGCCCTGACTGATACAATGATATGCAAGGGAATTATCAGCCAAAATAAAGCTGCCATGTTAATGAACTGGAGTATGTAAGATGTAAGAGTATGCTAATTCTCTCCAAAATAATCTGTAAACTAAATGTGATCCTCATCAAAATTTCAACAGTTTTCCAGAACTTGAAAGAACAAAGGGCTGAGAACTAAAAAAACTTTCTCATAGAACAAGATTCAGATAGCGATATCAAGCTTCTTAAAAACATACTGTAGCTAAGATAGTTTAGTATTAATGTAGGGGTAAAGAAAAAAGCTAAGGGACAAAACTAAACTATGATGACTAACATATGACTAATGTGGCACGTAAAAATAGTAAGGAAATAAATGGTACCAGGATCAACTGACAGTGGCCTATTTCACCCTACATTAAAATAAAATAAAATAAAATAATCTATTTCAGACAGGCACAGTGGCTCTAGTCGGTAATCCCAGCACTTTGGGAGGCCAAGGCAGGAGAAGATCGTTTAAGTCCAGGAGATCAAGGCTGCAATGAGCCATGTTCATGTCACTGCACTCCAGCCTGAGAGAGAGAGCAAAACGCTGTAGCTTTTAAAAAAAAAAAAAAAGAAAGAAAAAAACTGTTTGGATTAAAGACTAAATGCAAAAGCAAAACTTTAAAACATTTAGAATAAAATATAAGAATATATCTATCTTCATGACCTAGAAACAGTGATTTATTTTAAAAGATACAAAAAGTATAATCTAGCCAGGCACAATGGCTCACACCTGTAACCCCAGCACTTTGGGAGGCTGAGGGAGGAGGATTGCTGAAGCCCAGGAGTTTGAGACCAGCCTGGGCAACATGGTGAGACCTCACTCCTCCAAAAAAATAAAAAAGTTAGCTGGGCATGGTGGCATGCACCTGTAGTCAGGAGGCTGAGAGGGGAGGATCCCATGCGCCCAGGAGGTCGAAGCTGCAGTGAGTCGTGATCGTGCCACTGCACTCTAGCCGGGGCAACAGAGTGAGACCCTGACTCAAAAAAAAGTACAACTGTACGATCTGTAAGGGCTACACAGAAAAAGAAGACATTTTTCAGCTTTCCTTACAGTTAGCTGGGGCTACATTAATAAAGTCTACAAGCAAAAAGTGGGGTGACTACCTCTTGGGAAGTATTCTTAAAGAATAGTCACCTGTCTTTCCCTCTGTCTCTTTCTCCTTTCTGTCAACCGGAAGGTGGATAAAATACCTGGGTCTTGGGCAACCATCTTGTAACCGCAAGTTTGAAGACACACACTAAAGTTAACAGAGCAACACACAAAGGATCCTAGGTCCTTGATGATCAAGGAGCCATTCCCACCAAGCCTGAACTGCTTACTTCAGTATGTGATTTACATAAAACAAAAATCAACATCTATCTCGTTTAAACTATTTTATATTGTTTTGTCCCACTCACTGCCAAACCTAAATTTAACTGATAATAAAAACTGTTCTAGTTAAGTCCAAATGCTAGACTAATATTAAAAGAAAGTAAATAGCTTTTTGTCTAGTTAGCACCGAGAAAGGCATCAGAGAAGAAATAATTATGGATTTAATTGCAGTTTAAATAACGAAGAGTCTGTCAAAGAGCACACATAGGAGTGAAGGATACTACAGTCAAAAGGAACAAGTACAATTACCACAAAAGATGATAATGAACATAACAAAAGCGTTCACACCTCATGTAAGTGAAGACTGGTGGCAATAAAAATAACTGCTATCCATCATGGAGCACTTAATATGTCCCAGATTGCCTCAAATAATCCTCACAATATTATAACAGAATAATAATTTTATAATGGAGGACCTTTCCGAAGCTGTGCTAGACTTAAAACTTAAGCAGTAGCACTTAACAACTACGCTGAAGTTCTGGAACAATGGGCACAGGCCTAACTATGAAGCTTCACCAAAGCAGTGCCAAATCATGAAACCTTTTACAAAAAAGAAACATTTATTTATAAAGTAGTTACGGTTTCCTGATACTTCTAGGTCATTGCACCCCTTCCCCACTGTCGCCTTAATGCATCTAACACACTGCTGCAAATGATAAGTAGAAGATGGTGAAAATTTGAGGCAAAAATTAAATAACAAGTATAGTCCCCAAAAGAAGAAAGAGCATTTAATAGTAGGATTTCTTTAAGGTGCTAATATGACGCTAACACCTATTATACTCAGTATCTAAGGCCGTTCAGGCTGCTATAACAAAATACCAAAAACCTCGTGGCCTGCCAACACGGATGTTTACTCCTCACCGTTCCGGAGACGGGAAAGTCCAAGAGCAAGGAGCCCACGGACTTGGGGCTGACGAGGGCCTGCGTTCCAGGGGTTCCAGTTCGCAGACGGCACCCTTGGGATTGCTGTGACCTCACGTGGCCGAAGAGGCAAGGCCTCTCTGGAGCCCATCTTATTGGGGTACTAATTCCATGCATGAGAGTTCTGCCCTCATGCCCTAATCACCTTCCAAAGGCCCCACCTTCTAACACCACCACATCAGTGATTAGATTTGAACAAACGAATTTCAGGGCACATTCATTCATAGCAGTTAGACACCATGTCTTTTCACCATAAACTTAAAAGATTAATCATCCATTGTATACTCACCACACTGAAATCAAGGTTTTCTTCAACCCATTTTTGCGCATCTAGGAACTCATCGTGAAGTCCCATGATGTAAAGGGTATCCAAAGCATCTACTATGGTAGCACCCAATTGTGAACTTCCTATATTTGAGAAGAAAAAACGCTGTCATTAAAAAGATTTCCTTCATACAAGATCTATTTTAATTTTTGTATATATACAAAAGCAAACTAAAGGAAGAAAACAAATACTCAACAATGCTCACTTTTCCTTTGCATAGATAATATACATAGTTTAATGTATTTTATTAAAGATGACATATTTGAGGCAGGTTAGCCAATATAGCTTAGAGGCAGATAAGTTTCTTGCAGGCAGGTCTAAATTAAAATAGGGGAAGCATCCATATATCTTTCTTATTGGTATACGACCTTCCACCAACCACTAGGCATACCAGACTTGACCACTTTGTGAGCTGGAATGTGGATCTACCAGTACAGTAAGTCATAAAAACAGTAGAGAATTACCCAAAGCACAGACATGATGGGGGGGGAGGGCCAAATCTACTTAGGCAGTAACTTTCATTATTTAAAAGTTCCTTGTGACCTTAAAGGGTTGAGAGATGGTAATCAAAACCCATGACCAGATAGATACCTGAGCAGTCCTCAGCAATTAGCTCATAGTGTGCTTAATCACCCTTGTTAAAGTATGTAAAGCTTCTTGTCAAAGGCAAGCATGTGCCCCTTCTCTTAAGGTACGCTGCTTTTTCTTGAGTGTGCCCCTTTTCTATCTAATAAATTCCTTCTTATAAAAACTCTCGAACATCTAGGCATAGACAGAACATACCGCAAGTTAGTAAGAGCCATCTACGAGAAAAACCACAGCCAGCACACTGCTAAACAGAAACTAGAACCATTTCCCCCAAAACCAGAACAAGACAAGGATGCCCACTCTCACCCCTCCTGTTCAACTTAATACTGGAAGTCCTAGCTAGAGCCATCAGACAAGAGAAGGAAATCAGGGGTATCCAAATAGGAAAAGAGGAAGTTAAGTTATTCCTGTTTGCAGGCGCCATGATTCTAACCTTGAAAACCCAAGAGAATCTGTCAAAAACCTCCTTGCACTGATAAAGGACTTTGGCCAAGTCTCAGGGTTTAAAACAAACGTCCAAAAGTCGGTCACATTCCTATATACCAACAACAAACAAACAGAAACCCAAATAAAAAGCAAAATCCCATTCCCAATAGCCACACATACACAAATGAAATACCCTAGCATCTTCCTAACCAGAGAAGTGAAAGACCTTTACAGCAAAAACTATAAAACATTGCTCAAATAAATCAAAGATGACACAAATGAAAAAAGTATTCCGTGCTCATGGATTGGAAGAATCAATATCGTTAAGATGTCCATCCTACCCAGGCAATCTCCAGATTCAACACCACACCCATTAAGTTACCAGCAGCATTTGAATCACACCTGGAAACGACAATGCAGGAAGTCATACAGAAGCACAAATGGCCACGAATCGTCAAAACAGTCCTCAGCCAAAACAAAACAAAACAAAACAAAATGGGCCAGCCGCTGGCCTCCACCTAGCAAAGTGATGGGATGACGAGGCTGAGCTCCCAAGCCCAGCCTCGGTGCTTCATCGAAAACAAACCAGAATTCCTGGCGCGGCAGTCCACGCCTGGAATCCCAGCACTCTGTGAGGCCGAGGCGGGACTTTAAACTTCCCAGACTTTAAACTTCATTATAAAGCTACAATAATCAAAACAGCCTGGTCTTGGTACAAGAACAGGCATACAGACCAATGGAACAGGACAGAGATTCCAGAAGCAAAGCCTCAATTCCTCAACCAACTCATCTTCGACAAAGCCTCCACTATCAACCACTGGGGAGAGGAGAACGTATTTCAGTAAACAGTACTGAGAAAACCGGCTGACCACATAGAGAAGATTAACACAAGACCCCTACTTGTCACCATACACAAAAATCAACTCTAAATGGATCAAAGACCTAAACCTAAAACCTTAAACAAACTATAAGAGCCTTAGAGACACCCTTACGGAAATTGGAACTGGAAACCAATTCCTGATCCAAACCCCAAGTGCTCTTGCCATAAGATTTAAGACAAGTGGGACCTCATCAAATTGATAAGCTTCTGCAAAGCCAAAGAAACCATCAAGAGAGTAGGGAGACAGCCCACAGACTGGTAAAAATTATTTGTCAACTGTATATCTGACAAAGGCCTAACATCTAGGATCTACAAGGAACTAAATGTGCCGAAAAGAAAAAAAACCAAGCAGCTCCATTACAAAGTGGACAAAAGATATGAGAAGATACTTCTCAAAAGAAGACATATAAGCAGCCAATAGACATATGAAAAAATGCTCAGCCTCACTAGTCATCAAAGAAACGCAAATGAAAACCACACTGAGATACCACCTAACTCCAGTCAAGATGGCCATCATCAATAACTCAAAAAACAACGGATGCTGGAGAGGATGCGGTGAAAAGGGACCACTTCTACACTGTTGGTGGGAGTGTAAACTAGTATGAACTCTGTGCAAAACAGTTTGGCGATTCCTAAAAGGTCTAAAAACCAACCTTCCATACCACCCTGTAATCCCCCTGCTGGGAATATACCCAGAGGAACTCAAATCACTCTACAAAAAATATACTGGGCAACCCTCTTCCAGGTCCTCTCCCGCTTGGGAGCTTTTTTTTGTCAGAATAAACTCCTGCTTTCTTACCTCTGGAAAAAAGAAAAAGAAAAAGACACCTACACATACATGTTTACTGCAGCATTATTCACAATAGCAAAAACACGGAACCAACTATACTGCCCATAGAAAGAAGGCCAGATAAAAAAATGTGGTACATGTACACGATGGAATATTACACAATCATAAAGAAGGACAAAATTATGAACATCACAGCAACTTGGATGGACTTAGTGTCTATAATACTGAGTGATCTATCAAGAAACAAAGAACTGAGTACCACATGTTCTCACTCATAAGCAGACCTTTAACAATTATTATACTACTATAAGAATGAGATTGGCAGTAGTGGGAAACTGTCAGGGAATGGGGGGACACACCTCATCAACAAGGGCACCCGCATAATGAACATTTGTATACCTAACCCTGAACTGTACCCCACACATCTTTAAAATAAAAAATTTAAAAATAAAATAATAAAACCTAGATGCCTAGGCAGCATCCTGCCTGTCAGAAAAATAAATAAACAAACATGCAAATAAATAAATTCTTTCTTAAACTTTACTTTGGATTCACTCTGAAATTCTTTTCTCTGATGCAATCATGAGCCCATGGAGCAACTATACCACACCTCACCCAGCATCACATTTGTAACTAATAGGAAGGTTAAAAAAAACTAAAAGAATAATTCTTTCTCATATTCTGCCTGGTCAGAATATGAGGTATCTATCTACTTAATTGAGATAGGAAAAAAAAGACTATTAATTCAAGAAAAGGGGAGGGTTGTTCGAGATGACAAGCCAAGTCATAAGGAAACTATGTCTTTCTGGTCCAAATTCACAAGAAAGACAAAAAAAAATTTAAATAATAATAAATGTGTAACAAGGCTAGCTATCCATAATGGAACAGAAACTTAATAATCTTAAACAATCAAAAAGCATGTAAATAATACTGAAAAGGGAAACCACAGCACAAAATATGAGCAGAGAAAAATCAAAATAATAAGACGCACCCACTTTCGAAAGAATCCTGATCATAAAAGAAATGTCCCACAGAGGAAGAGAGAAAAGGAGGGAGAAAGAGGAGGAGACAGGGAGGAAGGGAGGCAGGAGGAATGAGTTCAGAGCAAACCTAACTGATGCGCAAGCCAGATAATGAAAACGTAAGACAAGAAACAAGCCAATCTTATGAATAACTGCACAAATCCGAAATAAAATAGCAAAACATCTAGTTTTACTACCTGTAAAAAATTCAGTAGCATAGTAAAAGAGTAAGTAACAGAGAACAGACAGGTTATCCCGAGTCCCCTGAAGGCAATTATTATTTCTTTCTTCTGAAAAAGAAAATCATCACACAGCTTACTGCTTACACTAACATGGCTTTACTGTTGCACTGTCTTCATCAACACGAATGTACTATTCTAGCAGTTCTTGCCCAGAAAGATAAAAGTTCTAAGAAAATTTTATTGTTCATTCCAGGAACTTTCTGAAAGACTCATCAACTCTTCAGAAAGTCTTCAAACTGATGGTTTACATTTCAATACTCTGCACTCCCTGCCCATGAATCCTTCTCTTACCAATTCTTAACTCGTATATCATGACTCTTACCCAATCATAACTGTCCCCTCTCCTGTCCCCAACCCCCCAACTGAAAGATCCACCTTAAACCATACTTAAAGTCTCAATTTTGTCCTTCTCCCTCTGAAAGGCTAACACTGTGAGGCAGTGATCTCCTTGACACATTAACAGCTTTGTCTTATCAACAGGTTTTCTCGGTCAGCATTCAATTATTACTTAATTCACATTTGCCATTCACTATTTTTTTCCTTTCTTCTCCCATTCCTCTTTGTAGTGGGTAAAAATTGTTTTCTTCTGATGGTTTAAAGCTATACAAATTTGTTCTAATGATGGTTAACTTACATGTCATTTTCTTGCTCAAGTGCTCCTAATAATTTCTTCAACTTATCAATACATATATCCCTTAGCTAACAAGAGAAATATTCCAATACACTCTGATCAATTCCTTGGTCTTCTTCCTTCTCAGTTCCCTTCGTGCTGATATTTTCTAGAAAGTTAGTCTGGATTACTACATACTTTCCTCTCACTTTTCTTGTTCTTCAGCTTTTTATTAAGATAAAAACTTTGGGCTCACGTCTATAATCCCAGTACTTTGGGAGGCCGAGGTGAGAGGATTGCCTGAGCCCACGGGTTTGAGACCAGCCTGGGCAACTTGGTGAGACCTCATCTCTACAATAAATTTAAAAGAAGAAAAAACAGGCAGGCGTGGTGGCACGTGCCTGTAGTTCCAGTTAACTTGCAAGGCTGAGACAGAAGGATCACCTGAGCCCATCAGGTCGAGGCTGTGGTGGCCATGAACATGCCACTGCACTTCAGCCTGGGAGACAGAGTGAGACTCTAAGTCACAAAAAAAAAAAAAAAAGGATAAAAACTTTGGCCGGGAGCGGTGGCTGATGACTATAATCCCAAAACCTTGGAAGACCAAGGTAGAAGAACTGTTTGAGCCTAGGAGTTTGAGACCAACTTGGACAACATAGCAAGATCTCATCTCTAGACAAAATCAAAAAATTAATGGGCATGGTGGCGCACACCTGTAATTTTAACTACTCAAGAGGCTGAGGCAGAAAGACTCTCTGAGCCCAGGTGAACCATTATCATGCCACTGCACTCCAGCCTGGACAACAGAGGGAGATCCTGGCTTAAAAAAAAAAAGATCACTTTATCAAGCCATTTAACTACCCCTATATCCACATCTCCTGCATAATTTCTTGAATATATATCTTTTTATTTTAGCATCTCTTCCAAAACATTTAATGAGCTTATTTTAAATCCTTGAAAGTACTGTTTGTGTTCTTAATTCAATGTTTGCAGGTAGCTGTGCTCCTCTGTTATCTAATGATTTATGCAGTCCTACAAACACATATTTCTCTAAGGTGCTGACTGCTCTAGAATGGAAAAAAGCCTGGCCCACCTGTCCTGTACCAGTTCTGGGTAGTTTAACCAAGTGCCACGAACTACAGAGCTGAAGGAAGAAAAGGCATCATCAAACCACCAGCTGTGATTACGATGCCTTATCCCGGCAGCTCAAGACTTCAACAGGAAAAAAAGAACAGCCCTGACACCACCCTTGGTTCAAAGAAGTCACACAACTATGACATTGTCGAACATGAAAAACATCATGAAAGCTCAGTATGAGAACACGGAACTCAACTAAAACAGTTCTCAGAGAAATTTATAACTTAAAACAGTTATACTATCTAATAAGAACAAATGAAATTAAATTCAACATTCTACTAAGTAAAAAAAAGAAAAAGAAACGTGGGCAACAAAATATAAAAATTAGAAAAGCTAAAGGCAGCAGTTGATGAATTATAAATAAAGAAAATTGTCAAAATAATAAATTCAAGAGACGGTTCTACAACAAGAACTATACAATGAATCTAACATTAACCCCAATTTTTTAAAAGTGGACAAGGTAAAACAAAAAACACAAAATAAATAAAAATGCAACCACTCAAACATTTAATAAAAACATCACCTAATTTTAACTACTGAAAATTCAGCAGATTGTTGTTATTTTTGTTTTTTCTACCACTTCACTATAATTTTCTTCTCACAATGGGCTTCCTATGGTTGAAATTAATTTTCCTCTATCTTTAAGGTTTACTAAAGCAGTATCAGGACCAGAATCTATTTGACAAATGTTAACGCATTAGGTATTTGAAAAAAATTTAAAAATTAACATCTAATCCTTATTTTTCAGCATGTTTATACTCCAATCCTTTAAAAACAGGTACAGTTTACCGCTGAGTTTAAAACAAAGAAATAGTTACTTAAAAGGATAGTATGTTTCAATGTCTTATAAACAGAATGTCTTTTACTGCACTAATGCCTCATATTGTGACATCTATAAAGCAATGGGAACTTTCCAATCTATAACCTCCATTGGGGAAATACACTCTATTTCATCACATGACAAAGTAAATATGAGATCTCTATCAGTCACTGATTATCTAAAGAAATTATTTTCCTTTACTCCTCCACCACACCACCTCTCAAACCCAGGAGAAATTTTTGTTATAAACATTTTCTTTTTTGACCAAAAACAAGCAACAACAAACAAATTATAAGGGAAATCATAGCATTAGAAAAATTCTTTCAAAATATCACAAAGAAAATTGCTGCTATTTGGATTACTGTGAGGGCATACTATAAGTAATAAAGAAAATTATACTACATATGACCAGTTTGTGTGTCTTTTTACTCTCTTAAAATTTTCTGGCTTTCATCTCTCATTATGTAAAAGATAATCATAACATCAAGAAGAATTTAAAATGGAGAAAAAGAGTGAAGACTACAAAGAGTAGCTTGACATTTTTCAAGACCTATCTTTGGGTTTAGTAAAAGTCATTCGTTGAATTAATTAAGTTACACCTTGAGTAGGTTAAACAGGCAAGTTTTACAAGAAGAATAAGCTCAAGAGAAGTAGAGTAAACAAACTCGAAATGAACACAGCTCGTCCTCAAGACTTCAGTCACACAACTCATTGCTCATTCTTCCTTAGTAACTATGAATGTACAACATAACCGACTCAATTTACCAAGCAAATCACTTTGGGCATGTTACTTTTTTTTTCTTTTGGTACATAGCACTACTGGAATTTCCTATCCTGTCCCTCTTTCTCTATAATGTATCAGAATTTGTACTGTGTTGAAGAAAAAATTACAAGTAGGTACCTATCTTTCATGACATTAAAGAAAAAAAGTACAGAAAAAAGCTTCAAAATACTTAGCTAAATGACTAAAGTATCCATATGTACACAGATAATCTACCAGATTATCTGAGTATTCCAAAGGACCTGGAACTAAATCTTGACTAAAACTTGCAAAAAAAAAAGTTTCGTCAAATTATAGTTTCATAGAAATACTCCAATTTTATAAAGTACTTCAATAATTAGATCTTGTTTTAAATGACAGAAGCAGAAAATGGAAGAGCAATTGAAAAACGCAAACTTACCAAATATGTTAGTGGAGTGTCCTTTCCTTGCAATAGGTCTGAGTTCATTATGTCCCCAACCATATGTCCTATAATTATCCCAGGCATGTTTCATCATCTAAAGACAGAAAAATTATAGTCCATCAATTAAATGTTTCTGACTGTTATTTTTCTATTTCACAAAATTTAGGGTTTATTACTATATCCTTGCCCATTCTCCTCCATTAGTATATTATTAAATTAACATTTTTATCAATGTGAAAGCACATGTAACTATATAACAGGAAAAAAACAGGTATAATAGACAAGTCCTTTTTCTTGGGGAGGCAGATGTCTGAGCATTCTTTCTTTTTAAGAAATGTCCAATCCTTTTGTGAATGACTCCCTTCCCTCACTGATTATGACAAGAGTTATCAATCAAGAGATTCTGCTTCTATCCCTAATTAACTAGAAAATTCCTTATCCTTAGACCAGAGAGATCAGCAAACTTTAACTCTACAGTTGTACAAAAGTAGTCCTAGATAATAGGTAACCAAATGGGCATGGCTGTGAAAATTTATTTTTAAAAAACAGGCTGCAGGCAGAATTTGGCCCACAGGTTGTAGCTGGTCAAACCCTGCCCCAGACAAAACGACTGGGTTCATGTAATTCAGTTAAGGACAATCAAGTCCTTTTTACGTATATCACTACAGATACTGGGAAACAGAGGGACTTTCTCATTTTGCAATTTCAAGGTCTATGTAATATGTAATCCTGGAGCTGATATGGGTTAACTCTCTCCCAACATGATGAAACCAACAAAAGGAGAGAAACAGAGACAGATGCATATTACTGACAATAACATCTACAGACTTGGATTCAGTCAAGTCTGAAGCCACAGTTTAGAACCACTAATCTAATAAATATTTTTACTCAAATAGTTTGAATCTAGTCTCTTACGACCCAAAGAGTTCTGAGGTTTATATGAAAGCAGAGTATTTAATTATGTATCAGCTGAATTATATAATAGTAGACTGTGGTGTATCAAAAATCTATTCACTTAACAGTACACTATTCATTAAACATTTCTCAACTTGTTTTATGCAGCCGGCATTACTCAGACACCAAAATCAGGCAAAAATATCACAAGAAAGCTCAAGACCAATGTATCTCAGCACAGATGCAAAATCCCTTAACAAACATTAGCAATCTTTAAGGACAATACTACACACAATCAAATGCAGTTTATCCCAGGAACATAAGACTAATTTAACATTCAAAAACCAATTAATATAATTCACCATGTTAACAGAATAAAGAGGAAACAATCATGCAATCATCTAGACACAAAGAAAGACAAAGCATTTGACAAAATTCAACACCCATTCATAATAAAAACTCTCAGTAAACTACAAGGAAATTTCTTCAACCTAATAAAGGACAACTTCAATAAACCTACAGCTGACACATCATACTTAAAAAGGCTGTACACTTAACCCCTAAAGTCAGGGGGGAAAAGTCTATTATGTACATTCTCATCACTTCTTTTCTACAATGTACTGCAGTAAGACAAGGAAAACCAAAAAGATCAAAGTGTGACACCATTGGTTTTTTATATATAAATTTTGTAATATATATATATTACAGAGAGAGAGAGCCAGTAAAATACATATCCATAATCACTTCATATCACAAATTTCAACTTATTACCTCTTTAATTTTTTCCCTTTTCTTTCTTATGTCATCATCTTCTGGGTCTCCACCATTTATTCCTACAAGATTTGGAATAGGGACTGGTGGGAGTGGCTTGTTCTCTTTTATCTTCATTTCTTGGACTACCTTATTTTTTTCTGTTTGAATTTCTGTTTGAATCTCCTCTTTTGTCTTTTTTAATTTTTCTTTTGCTTCTTCCAGGGCTTTCTCATGATCAGCTCGAATTTTATTTCTCAGACGTTCTTCTTCTTCCCTGTGAGAAAAGAAAAGAAAATAAAACTGTAAGAGTGAGCCTACTTAAGAATATCAACCTTTAAACAAAAAATTTACAAGTTCCTCCATCAAACTCTGATACTTGCTTTCTACTTTTACTGTTAAAAAGTAAGAATCATCAGTGAGAGGGATTCAGATCTGCCCAAAGAATAGGATACATATAACTTGGTATGAAAAAAGAAATGAAGGATGAATGCTGAGGAGCGAATACTTTACACAGTAGAGGAAGAGCGAACCTAGAAACAACGTTACAACTATAGGACTAAGTAAGAACAGAGAACACAGCAATCAGTAACAATCAACAATGCATACATACACAAAATAGAAACCAGTGACGGAGGAGAAAATAAAAAACAGAATTAAAAGGCCAGGCTCGGTGGCTCAGCCTGTAATCCCAGCACTTTGAGAGGCAGAGGCGAGTGGATTGCCTGAGCCTGCAGGTTCAAGACCAGCCCAGAAACTTGGCAAGACCTTGTCTCTATAATAAATAAAAAATTAGCCAGGCATGGCAGTGCGTTTCTGTAGTTCCAGCTACTTGGAAGGCTGAGGCGGAAGGATTGCCAGAGCCCAGCAGGCCAACGTTGGGCTGGGCATGACCGTCCCATTGCACTCCAGGCCTGGGCGATGGAGTGAGACTCCAACTCAAAAAAAAAAAAGAATTAGATATCAGAGTGGGGACACAAAAATAAACGTAGGGCCAAAGAAAAATGTAAGAGGATAGGAAGCTTTTCATTTATGTAGTACAGCATATGCTTCTAAAACTTTTAAAGGTTAGAAAAAGCATAGATCTTACAGTCCAATGGTCCTCAACTGAGAGAAGCATGACTACTTAAAGATCTCTTGAGCTCTTGTTAAAAATACAGATTTCAATTCAATAGGTCTATATGAAACCCATGAATCTGTATTATGAAGCACTCTTCAGCTTATTCTGGTTTACACACAGAATTCAAAACCACTTCTGCAGCAGACACTTACTATATTTTCTACCCAGCCCAACTTTTATGAGTGAGAGTTCAATATTCTCTCCATATCCACCCTAATCCACAGGAATGCATACAGGAGTGGTACTTACTGCTAACCATTATTTTCCAAATCAGCCAATGATGACTACTCTAAGGGTAAACACCTAATCTAACAGTGACTAGAGTCAACTCCCCAGAAATTTAACTCAAACTCTGCAGATGGTTGGACTTACCATATTGCTAGAGAGAATATAAAATGGTGTAAACTTTTCCATTTTGGAAAAGTTTTGTGGTTTCTTTAAAAACTAACATGTAACTATCATAGAATCCAACAACTGCACTCGTAGGTATTTATCTCAGAGAAATGAAGATTTATGTGCACACAAGAAACATGTATACAAGCCAATTACAAAAAGACAAATACTGTATTGTCAACTTGCATGAGGTACTTTAAAAGGCCAAACTCTAGAGACAGAAAGTCGAAAAGTAGTGGTCAGGGGCTAGAGATAGTAGTAATGAAAAGTTACTATTTAAAGGGTACAGAGGTTCAGATTTACAAAATAAAAAGAGTTCTAAAATGGATGGTGGTGGCGGTTGCATAACAATATCAACGTATTTATTACCTCAGAACTGTAAACTTTGAAATGGTTGAGATGGTAAAATCTGTATTAATTATATTTTGGCAAAATTTTTTAAATCAGGGGAAAAGCCTACACACAAATGTTTATAGCAGCTTTATCCATAATAGGCAAAACTTGGAAACAAACCATATGCCGTTCAACAATTAAATGGTTAAACAAACTGTGGTGTGTCCACATTATAGAATACTGCCCATCAATAAAAAGAAGTAAATTATTCATACATACACTTTGGATGAATCTCAAAGGCATTATTATTTGAGTGAAAGAAGCCAGTCTCAAAAGACTGCATAAATATGATTCCAGTGTACATGACATTATCAAAAAAGACAAAAATAGAGGAAAGGTGACTAGTTCAGTGATGGCCAGGGTTAGGGTTAGGAGTTACAAACAGGGGAGGCTTTAACTATAAACGAATAACACAAGAGAATTTTTATGGGTGTGTTACATGTAGAATTACAGAGGTGGTTACATGAATGTGTACGTGTTGAAACATAAGCCTATATACCAAAAGAGAAAAATAAAATGTTAAATGTCTAGAGATAAGACTGAATTGCTACCAGTAAGAAGGTGCTAATAAGAAAAACAGGAGAGAAAAAAGAGGGAGGGAGGTACAACAGGGCTGGCGTCAGAAACACACACACACACACACAGTCATTTACTTGGTAGGAAGAAAGAGTCCACTGGGCCTACAGACGGACTGGATGTGGAGGCAGTAAGGCAGGGAGGAGTCAACGTCCCAGGCTGACCCTTGAGGGAATCTGAGAGGAACTGGCATGTGGACTGAACTCTTCGGGAGACGCAGGGAGATGGGGGCATCACTAGCACACATTTGCTGAATAAAGTCTCATAAGACAACCAAGGCAGACACCCCCAAGAGCCTTCCAACCCCCAGTTTGCCTTTTGCCAACAGAAAAAACACTGTGCTTACCCCCGGAAAAAAGATCAGAATCCATCTATGCCATGCAAGTCTTTCCCAGCTGCCCTTGCAGCTATGAGTAGTCACAAAACCCATTTCAAACAGAAAAAAGGAGACTACCAGGAAGTATTTTCCTTTATGGATTTAAAAGTGGACAGAGCCAGTCAAGCTGTTTTAGCTGCTAAGTCAAACCTACCCAACCACCTACTCCTGCCTTCAAATGTGGTTGTGAAGCCTAACGCTAAGAGAGCCATCTTGCAATCAGAAGCAGTAAACCCGAGGACAAAGGGCCAATTTGGTTCAGGACATAAGAAAAAAAGGGGACTAATCATTGAGTTACTGCCAGGGTCCTCAACTGTCCCCAGATTTCAGATTCTAAGGAGTAACTCAGTTGGATATTCTGTCACTTCCAGCAGAGAATTTTCTCAACTCACCCACTCACTGTGCAAGCATACACATAGATTCAGGAAAGCAGAAGGCCTGGAACCAAGCCCCAAGGAAGAGCAACATCAAAGGGGGAGGACTGGCTCTTTCAAAGGCAATTCCTGTCCTGATGACAAGTGAGGGAAACCCACAGGCTTTCCATTTCTAGCTCCAGGCACCATGTGACCCCCCTGTGACTGCTGAATAGCACGCGGAAGTCCTGACCAAGTCTGCAGTGGCTCACAGGCATCAGTCTGGAAAGTATCTTCTTATCAATGAGCCTCCACAAACAGGTATTACACACTACTCTCTAGAGGTCACTCTGAGGGGTGAGGGATATAGGCCACAACGCCTCCCATATCTGCTCTCTGAGTGTCACAATGCCAGTGGGCATTTCAGAAGTTCTGCAATAAGAGGTGCATAACACACTTCCTCAAAAAGACTTCGTCACAGTCCCCCTTTCTGCATACTCCCTTTAGCATGCCATAGAACACAATGAGGAAATGCTTCTATACCACCAGCCAAGCCTGTGACAAAATTCTGTCACTTTTTTGTTGTGTGGCATTAGTGTATATCACTTCCAAGCCCCCTTTTCTCATCTGTAAAAGCAGGACCCCACCAACCTTGCAAAATTGTGCTGTGGACTGAATGACACACAGGGGAGAAAAATCCAGAAAGGTCCTGAACTCAGTGTCCTTCCTTCTGTACTGCCTGCCTTCTTTGTCACCACCAGCTCCCACCACTACACACACACACACACACACACACACATACACACACACACACACACACACGCCACTTAATGACTTGGGCTACTGTCAGTGTCCTGAACCTCTTGCAACTTCCTGGCTTCCCTAAACCGGGCGACAGAAGCAGCTTTTGAGCAAACCTACAAGGATTCAAGAATTCAGAGAACACCAAACCCTCTTAAAAAGTCCTACCTCTCTACCTTCCTGACTCCACTGCCAGCAATGGCCTTTGTCTATGCATCCAGAACAGCACTCACACCCGGTGTGTCTTTAATTTCTAAGGCAACCTCAAACCCAAAGGTAACATGCAAAAATAAATACAGTTCTATTCACTTCAAAAGGAAGAATCTGACAGTTCACTCAAGCTCCAAAATGACATACATAGCTGCTTTACCTGAGGACCCGACTTAACAAATTCCAAGGAGAACAGTTGATTCCATTCCCTAAAACCCACTTTTCTGCCAGTCTTCATCCCAATAAATGGTCACTTTATTATTTTCCAGGGTTCTTGAATCAAAAGCCTGATCTTTCTCCTCTTTCTCTTGCCCTCCAAAACAAATTCAGTAGCAAGTACTCTCATTTTACCTTGGAAACACTTCTCAAAGCTCTCCATGTTGCTCTCTCTCCAAAGAGCAACTGTGATCCAGGTTACTATCACGCCTTCCCTCAACTATTGTGATAGCCTTCCAATAGTCTCCAAATACTCAAGCTGCTCTCTACCCACACTCTGGAGCCAAGGAGCTTTCTGAAATTATTCAGACTAGGTCACTCCCTCCCTTCATGGCTTCCCTTCTCCTGGGAACGCTCTTGCGGACTAGGAAGGGACCCAGTATGACGTGCCCTCTACCTATCGCTCCACACACTTCCGCCAGCTTTCTGTGCTCCAGTCAACAAATCTTCCTTCAGTTCTTTTACGCATCATGTTCTTTCCCACCAACAGTCTCTTATGCATGGTGTTTCTCTGCTTAAAACACTCTTTCAACTCCTTCTTTACCTTCAAGTCATTCAAGTATCTCCCAGATTAGACAAATATCCCTAATACACAGGTGGATGGCACCACATACCTTTCCTGCAGAGGATCACCGTGTGATTCTCTGATTAATATGTTTCTCCTGGCAACACCATCAGCTCCGTAAGTTCAGAGACTCTATCTGATTTTTGTTCTAATGTATCCTTCAATGCCTGCCACAACACCTGGTATATAATAAGTGCTCAAAAATACTTAAATGCAAACACAGATTCTAAAACCCCATCTGAAGTGATTATGATATAGACAGTCTGCAGACCAT